AGTTCCCTCGGGGGGCGGGGGTTTGATTACCATAGTTCAATAAAACAACTGTAAAAACACCTTTGCAGCTCCGTGACTCTAGACACTCTACTATGAAGATAATCACCGCGAAATGCGTTTAAAGCCTTTCTCTTCATACCGTAGTGAATATACAGCTTCTGTTGGCGAGGAGTCACAATAACGTGGCTGAAACATGTACACCAAACCACACACACTAGAACATGAAGGGACGACGACGTTTCGGTCCATCCTGGACCATTCTCAAGTCGATTGTGAAAATGGAGAAGATTTTCACAATCGACTTGAGAATGGTCCAGGACGGATCGAAACGTCGTCGTCCCTTCATTTTGTAGTGTGTGGTCTGGTCAAGATATAACTTGTGTTATAGAGTGTTAGAGTCTTAGACTCTAAGACTCTACGTGGGAGGTTGCTTGCAGAAACAAATCTTGGAAAGAAAAGGAGGAAATCCTACATCGCCATCTTGAATAGTTCTTTGTAGATACTTATAGATAAATGAACGAAATGCAATGACTTTTAAGTACCTGTCACTACTCAGGTGTGACGAACTGTAATGGAAATGAGTTAAAACAAACTGATAATGAATGAGCAAAAACTAAAAAAATAAAAAACGATTAAATAAGAAAACAAATATATATATTATCTAATAGAATTGTTATATAAATTAGCCTTTCAAAGTCTGATAATGATTCGAATTTATTTGCTGATATTGTTAATTCATATGCCACTTTTGAAGTGCAGATTAATATTACAAATTGCCTCGTTAACAGCCCTACTAGGAGGCAACAACTACCCTCCAGGCGTGATGAAACAAGCTGTCTCTCCCCCCCCCCCTACATAACTCAGCAATATTTTTTGGATATCAATTCGAACCATTATGAAATTACATATAAATTATATAATTGATATATATAATAGCAAGAACACACACATGGACAACACGTGGGGGGGGGGAAATGATAGTGTGTTATCAAAAAGCTTCACTAACAGCGGTGATTGACACCAAAAAGCACGAGGAAAAACGAAGCAAACATGCTTCAAAAAAGTAGTAGAGGCCATTGAGGAAAACATTCAACATCTACACGCGGTGAAGGAAGGAACTAACTAATGAAAATAAAAAGCACAGGAAAACCGACGCTAGGAACGGAATGAGAAACACAGGAGCGATCTTTCTCACAACGCAATTATCAAAACAAATAATAATTTCAGCGATATTATCACATTATAGCAGATAAAAACGAAGAAAAAAAATATGAATAATATGCATTATCACGTGGGACTTAACCAAAGATAAGGTATAACACACACACACACACACACACACACACACACACACACACACACACACACACACACACACACACACCACACACACACACACACACAAAACGCTGCTCTGCTACTGACTCGTCTCACGTAGGTTGAACACCACTCACAACCACATAGATTCAGACAGAAACAGACCCACAATTAGACACAAACAACTAGACCCCCTGAACTACGAACTCCCCTCTCGCTATGCAATTCCCCCTCCAAACAAAGGGGGCAAACACCCCTACAAACACCCCCTCACAAAACACAAAAAAACACCATTTTCACACATACACCATTCACCCAATCGTTAAAAACCCACCCCTATACCCCGCCCCTTGGAGCCAGGTACCTCCCTCCACACAAACTCCAAGGATCTACTCACCTCGAGTTGGACCTCTTACTAGGGTCCTTCTTGCCCGCCTGGAGGTTGGTGAGGTCCTTCTGCCGCTTCTCCGTCTCCCTCCAGATCCGCCAGTAGAGGCCGCACATGACAGTCACAGGCAGGTAGAAGGCGGCGATGGCTGTCCCGAATGTCACGTACTCATTCGTCTCGATGAACTGGATGTAGCACTCGCCCGCTGGGACTGACCTGGGGGGAGGAGCACGGTGGGTTATGTTAGGGGGTAGCCACTGGGTGGGGTATGTTGGGGGGTAGCTACTGGGTGGGGTATGTTGGGGGGTAGCTACTGGGTGGGTTATGTTAGGGGGTAGCCACTGGGTGGGGTATGTTGGGGGGTAGCTACTGGGTGGGGTATGTTGGGGGGTAGCTATGGGTGGGGGTATGTTGGGGGGTAGCCACTGTGGCTGTGCTAGAAGGGAAGATGTGAAAGATGGAACAGGAGAGTAATATGGCTAGGGAGGATAGTTGACGGCTGGTGAGGATAGGTGACGGCTGGTGAGGGAGATTAATTAAATGTCTTTAATGACTGAAGATAAAATGACCTTCTTATGCTAAACTCTTACGTATTTTTTATTTTAAAACTCCTACTCACGTCACACAACTACGTCATCGGCAGCCAATGGGAGCGGCTAGGCTGGCACGACGTCACAGTATAAGCTCCTGTCATTGGCTAAAAAGTTTCAGTCGCCCACGGGCTGCCTGTGAGTGTGGGTGTGCTCGGGTCTTTCTCCGCCTGGCGGGGGTGGGGGGGTGGGGGACTCGTCCAATCATTGAGTGACAGATGGCCGGAATCAAGGTGTTTCGAGGGCGCAATTAATAATCATTATCTAAGCACCGCACGAGCTGGAGGATTGACTAATCGTCCCTAATGACTTGACCTGAATTTTCAAGCTAGTTTCGATTGGTAGCAGCGTACCAGCGGAGGTTTGTGGTAGTGGTGGACCACAGTGTAGTGAAGAGAGACGGTCGAGCGAACCATGTAGTCAAGACCAACAAGGCGGCCATTACATGTGTCTTAAAGTGGTTAACCCTAGCTCATTAGAGGAAGGGAACTATCAGGAGAAAGCGCCAAGCCATTACGACTATATAGCACTGGGAAGGGGGGTCAGGATAAGGATTTAGGATGGGGACGGAGGGATTGGTGCCCAACTACTCGGACGGTCGGGGGATTGAACGCCGACCTGCATGAAGTGGGACCGTCGCTCTACCGTTCAGTCCAAGTAGTTGCGAGGGAGAGAGAATGCTGCTGACTTGATCAATTTACTATGACAATGTTACCAGATAGTGTCAGTAATGGGACTAGTATTTATAAAGAAACACAGATATACATTTTACAGTGTAAATGTATATACATTGATACATATTTACAGAATTGTTATGTTTATTTACGTTTCTCATGTCATATGATTACATTATTCAAAATATATATCAGGCAGCATAATCATCAGAGTAGTGACTCAACAAGCAGTTGATTAGAAATTAATCCATTTATGTTGATAAATTGAATTAATCGTCTCATAGGTGGGCATTTTTCTTGTATAGTTTATGATTAACTCGAGATTAATGATGAATCAGTGAATAACAGACACACTCTCACCCAAATAAAATAAGAAAAGGCAGAATGGGAAGACTGTATCTTCCTAGACTTCCAGGAGGCTTTTGATACAGTCCCTCACAAAATCTATTCCAGAAGATGGGAAAGACAAACAGGGACAAATGGAAAGGTATTGGACCGGGTTCGGGAGTACCATACAGTCAAAACACAAGTGGGTCATGGTGAGAGAAGACATGTTAAGCTGGAGAGGCTTAGAAGATATTGTTCCCCCAGGATCTTTGTCTTAACCAGGTCATTCGAATTGCTGTAAATGACCTCTAATAGGAATCGAGTGGCCACAGTATACTAACCTTCGAGTACCTGGTGTAAGAAGGAATATCCGACTCAAGGAAGTGACGAGATAGTAACGAAGGGAAAGCTTTAGTAAGATGAGGAAATTCCCCCCATGCAAATACCACAGGAAACAGAACTCAGAGAGAAAAGTTTGTACAAGACATGATGGACTACTCATGTCTTGACCCTTCTCACAAGTGTCAGGCGGCAGTAGGCAAGCTTATCTTGGTCCCAAAGGAAAATAATTAAATGCTTGAGAGGAAACTGTCGTTTAATCAGCCGTGCAAGGAAGCAAGGCAGCAAGGACATGGAGAAACCACAGAAAATAACAGGACATCAGACAGCAGAGGGAGCTACCAGAGGGCCAGGAATGAGAACCTTAGTGTGTGGGGAGAGAAACAGAGAGAGATATGTTGACCAGACCACACACCAGAAAGTAAAGGGACGACGACGTTTCGGTCCGTCCTGGACCATTCTCAAGTCACAATTGACTTGAGAATGGTCCAGGACGAACCGAAACGTCGTCGTCCCTTCACCTTCTAGTGTGTGGTTTGGTCAACATATTTCAGCCACGTTATTGTAACTCCTCGCCTGCAGAGAGACAGAATATAAACAACAGTTAATAAAGTCAAGAGCCCACCAAAACTGCTCCACAGCCGCACCAATTAAGGAACAGTCCTCCTCAGCTGTCAGCCAGAGTGCCTTCCTTACAACCATCACTGAATCGTCATCTTTACCAGCCAATTCTCTTATATATGATATTAACTTATTATCTCGAAATTGAATCAATTTCACTGATTAAATTCTAATTTCAGTAAAACACCGATTATTTAATTTATTTCGCACAAATTTGTATATTAAGCCTTCAGGCTTCAAGACAATCCTGAGCTTGTCTGTCTGATCTGAGGGACTTAGACGACTTTTGTCTTAGCGAGTGACGAGTCTTCTAACAAGTTGGGGATTCTGGTATGTTTTGTGAGATAAATGTAAGCTCTGAACACGCTTCATTCACCCTGGTCTAGACGACTGAAGACACATTTGACTCTTGTGTTTTCTGTCTGTCTGTCTGTCTGCCTGTCTGTCTGTCTGTCTCCTCTCTCTCTCTCTACACAAATTCCCTACGAAATTCGCAGTTGCACTTCTAATCAGATATCATGCCCCTCACATTAAACACAGTGTCACTGGACAGCAGGTAAAATGCTTCTGTCTCTTGTACCATGCCTCTTCTGTCTATTCTACCAAGTCAGGGTAGAAGAGACAGAAGAAGAGAGGTTCCCAGCCCGTCCCACTCATCTACCTGACGCAGCCGCACTGTGGCATGAGCAACTACGCCGTGTTTTGCTCAGTACATTATATCTTTCTTTTTTAACATACAGTAATGTTTTTTCTCGTTTTCTTTCTTGAGAGTTTTTTTTTTAACTAACACAGTGGGGGGCATGTTCGAGTTATCTTGAGAACATTTCGGGGCTTAGCGTTCCCGCGGCCCGGTCCTCGACTAGGCCTCCTTTTTGTTATACAACCCCCCCCCCCCAGGAAGCAGCCCGTAGCAGCTGTCTAACTCCCAGGTACCTATTTACTGCTAGGTGAACAGGGGCATCAGGGTGACAGAAACACTTCCCATTTGTTTCCGCCTCCACCGGGGATCGAACCCGGAACCTCAGGAGTTATAGAGCAATGTGTCACAGCTCTAGATTAGGAGTCATCAGCCGCCTTGAGGTAACTTTAAGTCGTCTCCCCTAAGCTGAGGTAACTTAGCTTCAACTCTCAGCTCATTCATCATTCAACACTCACTCAACCTTATCATCATCTGCCAAGTATACAGACCCATTCCTTTCAGTCATCACTAAGGAACCATCATTACATGTATAATCATCAAATCATCATCAAATCATCCTTATAATCATCATATAGTCATCATAATTATCCGCCATTAGCTTTGTTCCTCCACACACATCACTCTTCCTCTTATTCACTCATACAGATGAGTACAATTGAGTCATGGCTTCATTCATCGACTATTCTTTGACTTACATCTGATTCATCCGGCCGATATTCATCCACCGCTCATCCATCTATGTGTTATCAATGTATTTTCCATCGATTACTCATCCATTTATGAAATCCATCTCTAATCCATCCACCACTTATCAATATACTGTCCATCCAGCACTCATCCCTCTATCAATTATTCATCCATGACGCATGTATCTATCGACTAACCATCCAGGTACTCATCACCTACCCAGCCACAGGACTCACCTGTAGCCCTCGATATAGGGCCATGAGTATATCCAGGGCGGCCAGAGGATGAGTGAGATGATCCAAGCTGAGCCAATCATCACGGCTGCCCGACGGGTCGTTCTCTTCGCTCGGTAGGTGAGTGGCCGGGTTACACTGTGGGGGAGATAGTGCTATACTGACATGGTACAGATGGGGAGAGGGGGGGGGGGGGGGTACTGGTAGGGTACAGAAATGCTGGCTCTGTCTACCCCCACAACCTCTGTCTACCCCCCACTACTTCTGTCTACCCCCCACTACCTCTGTCTACCCCCCACTACTTCTCTCTACCCCCCCCACTACCGCTGACAACCCCCCACTACCTCTGTCTATCCCCACTATCTCTGTCTACCCCCCACTACCACTGTCTACCCCCACTACCTCTGTCTACCACCACTACCTCTGTCTACGCCCCACTACCTCTGTCTACCCCCACTACCTCTGTCTACCCCCACTACCTCTGTCTACCCCCCCACTACCTCTGTCTACCCCCCACTACCTCTGTCTACCCCCCCACTACCTCTGTCTACGCCCCACTACCTCTGTCTACCCCCACTACCTCTGTCTACCCCCCACTACCTCTGTCTACCCCCCACTACCTCTGTCTACCCCCCACTACCTCTGTCTACGCCCCACTACCTCTGTCTACCCCCACTACCTCTGTCTACCCCCACTACCTCTGTCTACCCCCCACTACCTCTGTCTACCCCCCAATACCTCTGTCTACCCCCCACTACCTCTGTCTACCCCCACTACTTCTGTCTACCCCACTATCTCTGTCTACCCCCCACTACCTCTGTCTACCCCCCACTACCTCTGTCTACCCCACTATCTCTGTCTACCCCCCACTACCTCTGTCTACCCCCACTACCTCTGTCTACGCCCCACTACCTCTGTCTACCCCCACTACCTCTGTCTACCCCCACTACCTCTGTCTACCCCCCCACTACCTCTGTCTACCCCCCAATGCCTCTGTCTACCCCCCACTACCTCTGTCTACCCCCCACTACTTCTGTCTACCCCACTATCTCTGTCTACCCCCCACTACCTCTGTCTACCCCCCATACTTCTGTCTACCCCACTATCTCTGTCTACCCCCCACTACCTCTGTCTACCCCCACTACCTCTGTCTACCCCCCACTACCTCTGTCTACCCCCCACTACCTCTGTCTACCCCCCACTACCTTTGTCTACCCCCACTACCTCTGTCTACCCCACCCCACTACCTCTGTCTACCCCCAATACCTCTGTCTACCCCCCACTACCTCTGTCTACCCCCACTACCTCTGTCTACCCCCCCACTACCTCTGTCTACGCCCCACTACCTCTGTCTACCCCCACTACCTCTGTCTACCCCCACTACCTCTGTCTACCCCCCCCCCACTACCTCTGTCTACCCCCCAATACCTCTGTCTACCCCGCACTACCTCTGTCTACCCCCCACTACCTCTGTCTACCCCCCACTACTTCTGTCTACCCCACTATCTCTGTCTACCCCCACTACCTCTGTCTACCCCCCACTACCTCTGTCTACCCCCCACTACCTCTGTCTACCCCCCACTACCTCTGTCTACCCCCCCACTACCTCTGTCTACCCCCCCACTACCTCTGTCTACCCCCCACTACCTCTGTCTACCCCCCACTACCTCTGTCTACCCCACCCCACTACCTCTGTCTATCCCTCAATACCTCTGTCTAACCCCCCACTACCTCTGTCTACCCCCAATACCTCTGTCTACCCCCCCACTACCTCTGTCTACCCCCCAATACCTCTGTCTACTCCCCACTTCCTCTGTGTACCCCCCAATACCTCTGTCTACCCCCCCACTACCTCTGTCTACCCCCCCCAATACCTCTGTCTACTCCCCACTTCCTCTGTGTACCCCCCACTACCTCTGTCTACCCCCCACTACCTCTGTCTACCCCCAATACCTCTGTCTACCCCCCCACTACCTCTGTCTACCCCCCAATACCTCTGTCTACCCCCCACTACCTCTGTCTACCCCCCACTACCTCTGTCTACCCCCCACTACCTCTGTCTACCCCCCACTACCTCTGTCTACCCCCCACTACCTCTGTCTACCCCCCACTACCTCTGTCTACCCCCCCTACCTCTGTCTACCCCCCACTACCTCTGTCTACCCCCCACTACCTCTGTCTACCCCCCACTACCTCTGTCTACCCCCACTACTTCTGTCTACCCCCCACTACCTCTGTCTACCCCCCCAATACCTCTGTCTACTCCCCACTTCCTCTGTGTACCCCCCACTACCTCTGTCTACCCCCCACTACCTCTGTCTACCCCCCACTACCTCTGTCTACCCCCCACTACCTCTGTCTACCCCCCACTACCTCTGTCTACCCCCCACTACCTCTGCCTACCCCCCACTACCTCTGTCTACCCCCCCACTACCTCTGTCTACGCCTCACTACCTCTGTCTACCCCCACTACCTCTGTCTACCCCCCACTACCTCTGTCTACCCCCACTACCTCTGTCTACCCCCCACTACCTCTGTCTACCCCCCACTACCTCTGTCTACCCCCACTACCTCTGTCTACCCCCCCACTACCTCTGTCTACCCCCACTACCTCTGTCTACCCCCACTACCTCTGTCTACCCCCCACTACCTCTGTCTACCCCCACTACCTCTGTCTACCCCCCACTACCTCTGTCTACCCCCCAATACCTCTGTCTACCCCCACTACTTCTGTCTACCCCCCACTACCTCTGTCTACCCCCACTACCTCTGTCTACCCCCCCAATACCTCTGTCTACCCCCCACTACCTCTGTCTACCCCCCACTACCTCTGTCTACCCCCACCTGTAGAGATATAATTCCCATCATCCTTGCAGATAATCTCTGAATAGATTTTTATCCTCAACACAAAATTATTTCTCCTATCTTAACTCGTCTCATATCTTTCCCAACCTCTTCCACACACTCCCTCTTCCTCCTCCTCCTCCTCCTCCTCCTCTTCCTTCCCCCTTTCACCCCCTCTCTTCTGCCCCCCCCCTCCCTCTTGGTCACCCCCTTCGGCATAACCTCACCTGAAGTACCGGTCGAAGGAGATGATGAGAAGGTTGAGAACGGAGGCGTTGGAGGCCAGGTAGTCGAGGGCGAGCCAGGTGTCGCAGACGATGGGGCCGAGGGGCCAGTAGCCCATCAGGGTGTAGAGGGTGAAGAGGGGCATCGACACCAGCCTGCGGCAGCCACCCAGGGCAGAGACACGCATCCGTCATAATAGGAAGTAAGCATTATGGCGCGTGATGGGTGAAGGGTATGGTGGAGGAGCTATGGGGGATATTGTGTGGCTTGATCAGGCTACGAGCGGGGTTTGCGTCACATTTTAAGGTATATTTTGAGTCTTGCGTCACGTGACAAGGTATATTATGAGTCTTGCGTCACGTGACAAGGTATATTATGAGTCTTGCGTCACGTGACAAGGTATATTTTGAGTCTTGCGTCACGTGACAAGGTATATTATGAGTCTTGCGTCACGTGACAAGGTATATTATGAGTCTTGCGTCACATGACAAGATATAGTTATGCGTCACATGACAAGATATAGTTATGCGTCACGTGACAAGGTACAGCTCAAGTCTTGTGTCATATGACAAGGTACAGTTCCTGTCTTGTGTCACATGACAGGATAGAGTTCAAGTGTTGTCACATATCAAGAGTTGCGTCACATCACAAGGTATATTTTATGGTTTTGCATCACATGACAAAGCATAGAGTCTAGCGTCACATGACAAGAAATAGAGCCTTGCGACACATGACAATATATAGAGTTTTGCGTCACATGACAAGATATAGTTTTGCGTCACATGACAAAATATAGAATCTTGCGTCACATGATAAGGTATAAGTACTATTTTGCTATACAAATATATACCCAAATTAAATAGATTAATTGAATACGCGCCACTGGAAACTAATGCCAAACTTTAGCTTATTATTACAATGAATGTTTTGATCTTAAGGCAATATTTATGGTGGGAAAATGCTCAAAATATCATTTTAGACCTTAACTGTAAACTGCGATAGTTGGGTATATATTTTCATAGCAAAATAGTACTTATACCTTATCATGTATAACCTATACCTTGTGCCCTGTGCCTGCCTCCTCTGTGCCCGGAGCCTGCCCCCCACCACCGTGCCCGGAGCCTGCCCCACCACCGTGCCCGGAGCCTGCCCCACCACCGTGCCCGGAGCCTGCCCCCACCGTGCCCGGAGCCTGCCCCACCACCGTGCCCGGAGCCTGCCCCCACCACCGTGCCCGGAGCCTGCCCCACCACCGTGCCCGGAGCCTGCCCCCACCACCGTGCCCGGAGCCTGCCCCACCACCGTGCCCGGAGCCTGCCCTCCACCGTGCCCGGAGCCTCCCCCCTCCACCGTGCCCGGAGCCTGCCCCCACCACCGTGCCCGGAGCCTGCCCCACCACCGTGCCCGGAGCCTGCCCCCACCACCGTGCCCGGAGCCTGCCACCACCGTGCCCGGAGCCTGCCCCACCACCGTGCCCGGAGCCTGCCCCACCACCGTGCCCGGAGCCTGCCCCCCCACCGTGCCCGGAGCCTGCCACCACCGTGCCCGGAGTCTGCCCCACCACCGTGCCCGGAGCCTGCCCCCCACCACCGTGCCCGGAGCCTGCCCCCCACCACCGTGCCCGGAGCCTGCCCCACCACCGTGCCCGGAGCCTGCCCCCCACCACCGTGCCCGGAGCCTGCCCCCCACCACCGTGCCCGGAGCCTGCCCCCCACCACCGTGCCCGGAGCCTGCCCCACCACCGTGCCCGGAGCCTGCCCCACCACCGTGCCCGGAGCCTGCCCCCACCACCGTGCCCGGAGCCTGCCCCACCACCGTGCCCGGAGCCTGCCCCACCACCGTGCCCGGAGCCTGCCCCACCACCGTGCTCGGAGCCTGCCCCCACCACCGTGCCCGGAGCCTGCCCCACCACCGTGCCCGGAGCCTGCCCCACCACCGTGCCCGGAGCCTGCCCCCACCACCGTGCCCGGAGCCTGCCCCACCACCGTGCCCGGAGCCTGCCACCACCGTGCCCGGAGCCTGCCACCACCGTGCCCGGAGCCTACCCACCACCGTACCCGGAGCCTGCCACCACCGTGCCCGGAGCCTGCCCACCACCACCGTGCCCGGAGCCTGCCACCACCGTGCCCGGAGCCTGCCCCACCACCGTGCCCGGAGCCTGCCACCACCGTGCCCGGAGCCTGCCCCCACTCACCCGATAGTAATGTCGGCCACAGCCAGGGAGAAGAGGAAGTAGTTACTGATGGTCTGGAGTTGCTTGTCTATCTTAAAGCTAATCATCACCATCAGGTTGCCCAGCAGGGTGGCGATGGAGAGGAAGCCAGCCACCACCGCGATCAGGATCACCTGTTGGGGGAGACAGACAGACGCAGGTGTTAGAGACTGCTAGAGTGACAGGCGCAGGTGTTAGAGACTGCTAGAGTGACAGGCGCAGTTGTTAGAGACTACTAGAGTGACAGACGCAGGTGTTAGAGACTGCTAGAGTGACAGACGCAGGTGTTAGAGACTACTAGAGTGACAGGCGCAGGTGTTAGAGACTACTAGAGTGACAGACACAGGTGTTAGAGACTACTAGAGTGACAGGCGCAGGTGTTAGAGACTACTAGAGTGACAGACACAGGTGTTAGAGACTACTAGAGTGACAGACGCAGGTGTTAGAGACGACTAGAGTGAGGGAGGAAGGAGAGGGAGGCTAGATGGAGATAAGAATGATGGAGAACTGGCTCCACATATCTCCTCTACTGCAACTTGGCCAAACACGTTCCTCTGTTATATTGCATATTCTCTGCACGAAGGTTCGCAAACCTTTGAACCTTTACCAGTGTAGTCTTATGCTTGACTCGATATGGACTCCATGCTGGAGCTGCATACTCCAGGATTGGTCTGACATATGTGGTATACAAAGTTCTGAATGATTCCTTACACAAGTTTCGAAATACCATTCTTATGTTGGCCAGCCTGGCATATGCCGCTGATGTTATCCTCTTGATATCAGCTTCAGGGGACAGGTCTGGCGTGATATCAACCCCCAGGTCTTTCTCTCTCTGACTCTTGAAGTATTTCATCTCCCCAATGATACCTTGCATCTGGTCTCCTGCTCCCTACACCTATCTTCATTACATTACATTTGCCTGGGTTAAACACTAACAACCATTTGTTCGACCATTCCTTTAGTTTGTTTAGATCTTCTTGAAGCCTCAAGCAGTCCTCCCGTGTCTTAATCCTCCTCATAATTTTGGCATCGTCAGCAAACATTGAGAGGAATGAGTCTATACCCTCCGGGAGATCATTTACATATCAGAAACAGGATAGGTCCGAGTTCAGAGCCCTGTGGGACCCCACTGGTGACTTCACGCCAATCTGAGGTCTCACCCCTCACTGTAACTCTCTGCTTCCTATTGCTTCGGTATTCCCTTATCCACTGGAGCGCCCCACCAGTTACTCCTGCCTGTTTCTCCAGCTTATGCATCAACCTTTTATGGGGTACTGTGTAAAAGGCTTTCCGACAGTCCAAAAAAATGCAGTTCCGTCCATCCTTCTCTTTCCTGTTTAATCTTTGTCACCTGATCGTAGAATTCTATTAAGCCTGTAAGGCAAGATTTCTCTCCCTGAACCCATGTTGATGGGTTGCCACGAAGTCCCTTCTGTAAAGATGTGTTACTAGGTTTTTTCTCACGATCTTCTCCATCACCTTGCATGGTATACAAGTTAAGGACACTGGCCTGTAGTTCAGTGCCTCTTGTCTGTCACACCTTTTGTATATTGGGACCACATTAGCCGTCTTAATACCCACAGCTACCACTGATCTTTTTCTTTCTAGCAGCAGACTAGTGGATCTTGCTGCTTCCTGTGAGGTGGCTGTTTTCATGACTACCTCCCTTACTGTAAACATTACTTCCAAATTTGGTTTTAGCATTTCTGCAAATATTGCTTGTACAATGGCATTCCCTTCCAACGTACCGCTTCCATCCTCTCTTTGGATGATTATCTGAGCCTCAGCGTCTGTGTTGTTCTCTTTGAGGGTTTTAATCTCCTCATTTGCTGCTGTCAGCTCGCTTTGCAGGTTTCTTATTTTATTATTCATTTCCTGCATCTCCCTACTGATTTCCTCCAAAACTTCGGTGAATATTTCCTTCATTTGTTCACATAGACTTTTCCCTGTTCCCCTGCTACCTCTCGCTGCCATGTTTGTCCCTGTTCCTACTATGTCGTGATAGGTTGCCAAGAGGGAGGCAGAGAGGGTGGAGAGAGAGAGAGAGAGAGAGAGAGAGAGAGAGAGAGAGAGAGAGAGAGAGAGAGAGAGAGAGAGAGAGAGAGAGAGAGAGAGAGAGAGAGAGAGAGAGAGAGAGACACTGTGAGTGAGATAGAGTGAGGGAGAGAAGGGGTGAGAGGGAGAGGAGAGAGGGAGAGGAGAGAGGGAGAGAGGGAAGAGTGTCAGCAGGGAGAGAGAGGGAGGGAGGGAGAGGAGGATGACCGTCAGTATATAGTATGGTCATCCTTTGCCAAGGTGTCAGATCCTGTGTGTGTGTGTGTGTGTGTGTGTGTGTGTGTGTGTGTGTGTGTGTGTGTGTGTGTGTGTGTGTGTGTGTGTGTGTGTGTGTGTGTGTGCGTGCATGCGTGCGTGCGCTACTTCAAGAGCAACACCGTCACATCCTCACCAGAAAACGACATTTGGCACTATCCATTTTCAATCAATTTACGAAAGGTTGTGTGGGGCGGCGGGGCCTTTTGTGCACTGAATTGGTTTTATAGCGTGTTTGAGTGTGAAGGGAGAGGGGTGAGAGGGAAGGGAGAGGGGTTAGAGGGAAGGGAGAGGGGTGAGAGTGTAGAGAGAGAGTGGTGAGAGAGAAGAGAAAGAGAGAGAGAGGTTGTAGAGTTCATCACACACCTCTTTGTCATTCTCTGTGTACCCATCCTCTGTCTTTCTCAGTTTCATCACCTGTTCTTTCACTGTTGCTTTCCTCCTGATAAGGCTGAATAGCAGTGTTGGTTGGGTATACATTTGCTATGTAGTTTTTATACTGTCTCTCTGATTCTCTTCTCACACCGAGGTATTCATTCCTGGCCCCTCTGGGTTTATGTTATTTCTGTAATACCTCCCCGCCCTTGTGCTTGGCTGCCTGAGGCACCGAAGGCTCCTACTTCTGCTCTCAAGTTTTGTTGGTTTTGGTCCAGGATGAGACTTCTTCCTCCTCACACTTATGACGTGTGGAGAGAAGTGTGTGTGTTAAGATAAATGAGTGTGTGTGAAGAGAACGTCGAGTGTGTACGTGAGAGAGTACTCACTATTACTCACTATTGTGTACACTGTGTGTACTCACTATTGACCCGTAGGGAGGAAAGGGGTGTAATGGGAAGCTGTTGACCTCACCCACATCTCAGAGGAACAGGGGGGGGGTAACTTTAGCCTCACTGTGAGACCTAAATACACGTCAACAAACCAATTTCGTTCGAGCCAATTGGAGGCCTTCAAGGTCAGAAGAGATCCAGACCAGAGAGGTCACGATATAATGACCTCGTTAGTCACGAGAACTAACGAGGTCAAGCTAGATCAGCCAAGGTTAAATGGGGGGTCAAGGCAATTTAAACATCCTAAAGTGATAAGCCATTTCAAGCAACGAACCACCATTATGCATGGAAACGAACATAACAAATAGAAAACGGATGGTAAAATGATTTCTCTGGACTTCTGAAGTCATATTGGAAGAAAACGGGAATAACTACTCTTCCTATGTATAAACTTTCGTATTTTATTTTTTAATGCGTTCTATAACTTGTCTCTATATTTCTTGCAAACAAACCTGCTCATCAGGTTTGTTAGGAGTGCTACCCACACCTGCTGCAATAATATTCTCAAAATTATTATACCATCCTTATAAAATAATACATAATCCCTTAATTTAATATGTAATTTCTTTCAAAAGTGACATAATCCATTAAATTCAATATTTTATCCCTAAAAATAATTATAACTTCAAAAATAATATATAATCCTTTTTTTTAAATTATTTTATAATTTGTTTTTTTTTATTTCTATATATAAAATCTTTAAAAATAATAAATAATCCATAAAAATAATATATAATCCCTAACAAAATAATAAATAATTTCTAAAAATATATATATATTATTCCAAAGAAAATTATTTAGAATCCCTAAAATTTAGTACATAATCCCTAAACAATTAATAAATAATCCCACAAAAAATAAATTTATAATCCTTAGAAAATTACTTATGATCATCCCTAAAATGAATATATAATCCCTAATGCAGAGGAATGTGTGTCGAGTACTGGTGTGGGAGTGTCGAGTACTGGTGTGGGAGTGTCGAGTACTGGTGTGGGAGTGTGTCGAGTACTGGTGTGGGAGTGTGTGTCGAGTACTGGTGTGGGAGTGTGTGTCGAGTACTGGTGTGGGAGTGTCGAGTACTGGTGTGGGAGTGTTGAGTACTGGTGTGGGAGTGTTGAGTACTGGTGAGGGAGTGTTGAGTACTGGTGTGGGAGTGTTGAGTACTGGTGAGGGAGTGTTGAGTACTGGTGTGGGAGTGTCGAGTACTGGTGTGGGAGTGTCGAGTACTGGTGTGGGAGTGTCGAGTACTGGTGTGGGAGTGTCGAGTACTGGTGTGGGAGTGTGTGTCGAGTACTGGTGTGGGAGTGTGTGTCGAGTACTGGTGTGGGAGTGTCGAGTACTGGTGTGGGAGTGTTGAGTACTGGTGAGGGAGTGTTGAGTACTGGTGTGGGAGTGTTGAGTACTGGTGTGGGAGTGTCGAGTACTGGTGTGGGAGTGTCGAGTACTGGTGTGGGAGTGTGTGTCGAGTACTGGTGTGGGAGTGTGTGTCGAGTACTGATGTGGGAGTGTGGAGTATTGGTGTGGGAGTGTGTGTCGAGTACTGGTGTGGGAGTGTGTGTCGAGTACTGGTGTGGGAGTGTTTGTCGAGTACTGGTGTGGGAGTGTGTGTCGAGTACTGGTGTGGGAGTGTCGAGTACTGGTGTGGGAGTGTCGAGTACTGGTGAGGGAGTGTCGAGTACTGGTGTGGGAGTGTCGAGTGCTGGTGTGGGAGTGTGTGTCGAGTACTGGTGTGGGAGTGAGTGTCGAGTACTGGTGTGTGAGTGTCGAGTACTGGTGAGGGAGTGTCGAGTACTGGTGAGGGAGTGTCGAGTACTGGTGTGGGAGTGTCGAGTACTGGTGTGTGAGTGTCGAGTACTGGTGAGGGAGTGTCGAGTACTGGTGAGGGAGTGTCGAGTACTGGTGTGGGAGTGTCGAGTACTGGTGTGGGAGTGTGTGTCGAGTACTGGTGTGGGAGTGTGTGTCGAGTACTGGTGTGGGAGTGTGTGTCGAGTACTGGTGTGGGAGTGTGTGTCGAGTACTGGTGTGGGAGTGTGTGTCGAGTACTGGTGTGGGAGTGTGTGTCGAGTACTGGTGTGGGAGTGTCGAGTACTGGTGTGGGAGTGTTGAGTACTGGTGTGGTAGTGTCGAGTACTGGTGTGGGAGTGTCGAGTACTGGTGTGGGAGTGTGTGTCGAGTACTGGTGTGGGAGTGTTGAGTACTGGTGTGGGAGTGTTGAGTACTGGTGTGGGAGTGTGTGTCGATTACTGGTGTGGGTGTGTGTGTCGAGTACTGTTGTGGGAGTGTCGAGTACTGGTGTGGGTGTGTGTGTCGAGTACTGGTGTGGTAGTGTCGAGTACTGGTGTGGTAGTGTCGAGTACTGGTGTGGGAGTGTGTGTCGATTACTGGTGTGGGTGTGTGTGTCGAGTACTGGTGTGGGAGTGTCGAGTACTGGTGTGGGAGTGTCGAGTACTGGTGTGGGAGTGTCGAGTACTGGTGTGGGAGTGTTGAGTACTGGTGTGGGAGTGTCGAGTACTGGTGTGGGAGTGTCGAGTACTGGTGTGAGAGTGTCGAGTACTGGTGTGGGAGTGTGTGTCGAGTACTGGTGTGGGAGTGTGTGTCGAGTACTGGTGTGGGAGTGTGTGTCGAGTACTGGTGTGGGAGTGTTGAGTACTGGTGTGGGAGTGTTGAGTACTGGTGTGGGAGTGTCGAGTACTGGTGTGGTAGTGTCGAGTACCGGTGTGGGAGTGAGTGTCGAGTACCGGTGTGGGTGTGTGTGTGTCGAGTACTGGTGTGGAAGTGTGTGTCGAGTACTGGTGTGGTAGTGTCGAGTACTGGTGTGGTAGTGTCGAGTACTGGTGTGGGAGTGAGTGTCGAGTACCGGTGTGGGTGTGTGTGTCGAGTACCGGTGTGGGAGTGTGTGTCGAGTACTGGTGTGGTAGTGTCGAGTACTGGTGTGGGAGTGTGTGTCGAGTACTGGTGTGGTAGTGTCGAGTACTGGTGTCGTAGTGTCGAGTACTGGTGTGGGAGTGAGTGTCGAGTACTGGTGTGGGTGTGTGTGTCGAGTACCGGTGTGGGAGTGTCGAGTACTGGTGTGGTAGTGTCGAGTACTGGTGTGGGAGTGTGTGTCGAGTACTGGTGTGGTAGTGTCGAGTACTGGTGTGGTAGTGTCGAGTACTGGTGTGGGAGTGTGTGTCGAGTACTGGTGTGGTAGTGTCGAGTACTGGTGTGGTAGTGTCGAGTACTGGTGTGGGAGTGAGTGTCGAGTACCGGTGTGGGTGTGTGTGTCGAGTACCGGTGTGGGTGTGTGTGTCGAGTACCGATGTGGGAGTGTTGAGTACTGGTGTGGTAGTGTCGAGTACCGGTGTGGGAGTGTTGAGTACTGGTGTGGGAGTGTCGAGTACTGGTGTGGGAGTGTCGAGTACCGGTGTGGGAGTGTTGAGTACTGGTGTGGTAGTGTCGAGTACTGGTGTGGGAGTGAGTGTCGAGTACTGGTGTGGGAGTGTCGAGTACTGGTGTGGGAGTGAGTGTCGAGTACTGGTGTGGGAGTGTGTGTCGAGTACTGGTGTGGGAGTGTGTGTCGAGTACTGGTGTGGTAGTGTCGAGTACCGGTGTGGTAGTGTCGAGTACCGGTGTGGGAGTGTCGAGTACCAGTGCCAACAGAGAGTACCCTACCTCATATATGGAGTACCTGTCGATGGCTGGCACTATACTGTGGAGATCAGCGCCGGGCGTAGTGAAGTTACTGGCGTTCAGAGCGTCGTACCTGCCAATGAGAAGGGGATCAGGAGCCTCCCATCACTATGTCTGCTCTGAGTACCACTAATCTCATTATCATCATTATTATATAATGGCATTGTCTTCTCACAGACATAATAACACAGGAGAAACACTCACATTTGTAAGTGTATTTATGTAAACAATTTACAGCAAGTCCTTAACACTCTCTTGAGTGACTTGTCAAGGTCTGAGTGTGTGTGGTCAAGTCGACCCTTAATGTAGGGGATACAAAACCTAAAATGCTTTTCACTTACCCAAATACAATTAGGGAAAAGGGTTCGTAATATTAGGAGATAATGTAAATCCGTGAGGCGTTTAAATACTGAACAAATCCACAAGGGCCGTGACGAGGATTCGAACTTACGTCCGAGAGGATCCCAGACGCTGCCTTAATCGACTGAGCTACGACATGGTCGTTTATATACTGCCTTGTAGAGATTGCAGTGAGGTCTATGAGCGTGACCATTAGACAGCGTGTAGAATCCTGGAGCCAGATTCACGTAAGCAGTTACGCAAGTACTTACGAACGTGTACATCTTTCCTCAATCTTTGACGGCTTTGGTTACATTTATTAAACAGTTTACAAGCATGAAAACTTGCCATTTAACTGTTGTTATTGTTATAAACAGCCTCCTGGTGCTTCGGAGCTCATTAACTGATTAATAATTGTAAACAAAGCCGCCAAAGATTGAGAAAAGATGTACAGGTTCGTAAGTGCTTGCGTAACTGCTTCGTGAATCTAACCCCTGGCTATTAACAGTGCTGTAGCTAACCATAGTCGGGGGATAAGGCTCACAAAAATTGATTTTCAGAAGAGTGAATTAATGTAAAGAAATAATATTAGAACTAGAAGGGCCGGGCTAATAGGAACTAGGAAGGGTTCTAAGAAATACTCTGAATACTTTCACTGACAAGAAAATCTTTACCTCAGAGGAAAGCTTTACTGGGAAAATAATTCTGAGTGAATTAAAATTAGACCTCGATAAATGGCTGAATGACAGCAGTGCCATAACCCACGTTGGGGTGTGGAGCGGGCTACGAGGGGCCAAGCCTCCAGATCAACACCTCTGGTGATAACAAGTCCAGTTCCCAAGATAGCAGGTCAAGAAGGCTAAGAGGATTGGACGCAGGATAACAGCCTCATTAGACGTTGAGATGTAAGTCTGGTCCTGACCACACACTCAGACCTTGACAAGCCACTCAGGAGAGCGCGAAAGACTTTGTGTAAATTCAGTACAGAATTTTCACAAATATACAAGTGTGGGATTTTATCCTATATTATTTTTATTATTATTATTATTATTATTATTATTATTATTATTTGCACAAAAAAATCAGAAACGAACATTACATAAGTTCGCTAAAACATGTCTCAGCGTCATATGTGGTCTATCACCACCTGGAATCGATTCCTACAAAAAAGGTCGATCGCTTCTGTTCGACTAAGAGGTCAAACCGGAAGATTATCATTGATGTCATCAAGTCGTCTATTTCAAGTGACTGTCGAGTACTCCAGGGAGTCGATCGTCTGCTCGACGGCTGGGTCGAGCAGGCACTTACCCGTCTCCCAGAGCGTCCAAGGAGCCATTGAAGTCGACGCCGAAGGTCGAGCCGGAGACAGTGGTCCCATTGAGGAGGTCGAGTGACAGGCTGTCGAGGTCGAAGACGTTGGTACAGTTGGAGGAGTCGACTCCGACGCAAGGCACGAGCGGTTGAGTCGACCAGTTGAGGCCCAGGTCGAGTCCACTGGTCAGGTTGTACACCAGGGAGAGTGGAGAGGTCGACACCTGTGGGTAGAGAGGGAGAGTGAGAGAGGTCGACACCTGTGGGTAGAGAGGGAGAGTGAGGGAGGTCGACACCTGTGGGTAGAGAGGGAGAGTGAGAGAGGTCGACACCTGTGGGTAGAGAGGGAGAGTGAGGAAGGTCGACACCTGTGGGTAGAGAGGGAGAGTGAGGAGGTCGACACCTGTGGGTAGAGAGGGAGAGTGAGAGAGGTCGACACCTGTGGGTAGAGAGGGAGAGTGAGGAAGGTCGACACCTGTGGGTAGAGAGGGAGAGTGAGGAGGTCGACACCTGTGGGTAGAGAGGGAGAGTGAGGAGGTCGACACCTGTGGGTAGGGAGGGAGAGTGAGAAGAGGGTGAAAGAGCGATGGGAGAGAGGGGAAAGGTGAAAGAGAGTGAGGAGGATGAGAGGATCACACACACACACACACACACACACACACACACACACACACACACACACACACACACACACAAAGCTTCAAGAAGACCTAGACAAGCTGAAGGAATGGCCGAACAAATGGTTGTTAGAGTTTAACCCAACCAAATGTAATGTAATGAAGATAGGTCTAGGGGGCAGGAGGCCAGATACAAGGTATCATCTGGGAGAAGAAATTCTTCAGGAGTCAGAGAAGGAAAAAGACTTGGGGGTTGATATCACGCCAGACCTGTCTCCTGCAGCACATATCAAGCGGATAACATCAGCGGCATATGCCAGGCTGGCCAACATACGAACGGCATTCAGAAACTTGTGTAAAGAATCATTCAGAACTTTGTATACCACATATGTCAGACCAATCCTGGAGTATGCAGCCCCAGCATGGAGTCCATATCTAGTCAAGGATAAGACTAAACTGGAAAAGGTTCAAAGGTTTGCCACCAGATTAGTACCCGAGCTGAGAGGTATGAGCTACGAGGAGAGGCTATGGGAATTAAACCTCACTTCGCTAGAAGACAGATGAGTTAGGGGGACATGATCACCATATTCAAGATTCTGAAGGGAATTGATAGGGTAGATAAAGACAGGCTATTTAACACAATGGGCACACGCACAAGGGGACACAGGTGGAAACTGAGCGCCCAAATGAGCCACAGAGATATTAGAAAGAACTTTTTTAGTGTCAGAGTGGTTGACAAATGGAATGCATTAGGGGGTGATGTGGTGGAGGCTGACTCCATACACAGTTTCAAGTGTAGATATGATAGAGCCCAATAGGCTCAGGAATCTGGACACCAGTTGATTGACAGTTGAGAGGCGGGACCAAAGAGCCAAAGCTCAACCCCCGCAAACACAACTAGGTGAGTACACACACACACACCCACCCAGGAAGGTGCCCTTAACAGTTACCTATTTACTACAAGATAACAGGAGCATCCAGGTGAAAGAAACTCTTCCCATTCCGTTTCTACCATCACCGGGAATCGAACCCGGACCCTAGGATTACGAGTACAGAGCGCTGCCCACTCAGCTATCAATCCCCTTACAAGTGTGTGTGCGAGTGTTAAAAATACAGTAGTAGATATAATAGAGGCCCAATAGATTGGTGAGAAAGGCGGGGTCCAAGAGCTAAGAGCTAGATTCTGGGGAGACAAATAGTAAATACAAAGTTGGTAATCAACGTCTCACCTCTTGTAGTGTGGTGGGGGAGTTGTGGTGGTGTGGGGGGAGGGGGTCGTCGGCGTCAGTGGTCGTACTGCTGGCCAGGCGGGTGAGAACCTCATCTGAGAGTCGTTGGAGCTCGTCGTAGGCATCGTGGTAGTCGGAGGAGTTGAAGACCACTCGGTAGTATGGGAACAACTTGGTTCCTTCTTCAGCCATAACGCCTGGCCTGTGGGGGGAGGGGGAGGGTGGTTAGTTGTTGGGGGGTGAGGTGGTGGTGGTAGTGGTGGTAGTGGTGGTAGTGGTGGTTGTGGTGGTGTAGTGGTGGTAGTGGTGGTAGTGGTGGTGGTGGTACTGAAATATTGGTATAATTAGATATTTTCTCTCCTAATACTACATTAAGTCTAGAAAATATTTCGAGTGACCACAAACACGCCACAAACACACCACAAACACACCACAAACACACAAACCCACCACAAACCCACCACAATCACACCACAAACACACCACAAACACACAAACCCACCACAAACCCACCACAATCACACCACAAACACACCACAAACACACCACAAACCCACCACAAACACGCCACAAACACGCCACAAACACACCACAAACACACCACAAACACACCACAAACACACCACAAACACATCACAAACACGCCACAAACAAGCCACAAACACACCACAAACACAACACAAACACACCACAAACACACCACAAACACACCTCAAACACACCTCAAACACACCACAAACACACCACAAACACAGCACAAACACATCACAAACACGCCACAAACACACCACAAACACACCACAAACACGCCACAAACACGCCACAAACCCACCACAAACACATCACAAACACGCCACAAACACGCCACAAACACACCACAAACCCACCACAAACAACACAAACACACCACAAACACGCCACAAACACACCACAAATACACCACAAACACGCCACAAACACGCCACAAACCCACCACAAACACACCACAAACACGCCACAAACACGTCACAAACCCACCACAAACCCACCACAAACACACCACAACCACGCCACAAAACACCACAAACACACCCACCACAAACACACCACAAACACGCCACAAACCCACCACAAACACACCACAAACACACCACACACCACAAACACACCACAAACACACCACAAAAACACCACCACAAACACACCACAAACACACCACAAACACACCACACACCAACACACCACAAACACACCACACACCACCACACACCACACAAACACACCACAAACACACCACAAACACACCAAACACACTACACACCACAGCAACAAACCACACAAACACACAACAAACACACCACAAACACACCACAAACACCACAAACACACCACAAACACACCACAAACACACCACAAACACACCACAAAACACACAAACACCACAAACACACCACAAACACACCACAAACACACCACAAACACCACAAACACACCACAAACACACCACAAACACACCACAAACACACCACAAACCACACCACAAACACACCACAAACACGCCACAAACCACAGAAACACACCACAAACACACCACAAACAAACAAACCCACCACAAACACACCACACACAACAAACACGCCACAAACCCACCACAAACACACCACAAACACACCACAAACACGCCACAAACCCCCCACACACGCCACAAACACACCACAAACACGCCACAAACCCACCACAAACACGCCACAAACCCACCACAAACACACCACAAACACACCACAAACACACCACAAACACACCACAAACACACCACAAACACACCACAAACACACCACAAACACACCACAAACACGCCACAAACCCACCACAAACACACCACAAACCCACCACAAACACGCCACAAACACACCACAAACACACCACAAACACACCACAAACACACCACAAACACACCACAAACACACCACAAACACACCACAAACACACCACAAACACACCACAAACACACCACAAACACACCACAAACACACCACAAAACACCCGCCAAACACACCACAAACACACACACAAACACACCCGACAAACACACCACAAACACACCACAAACACACCACAAACCCACCACAAACACACCACAAACACACCACAAACACGCCACAAACACGCCACAAACCACAGAAACACACCACAAACCACAGAAACACGCCACAAACCACAGAAACACGCCACAAACCCACCACCACAAACACAAACACCACAAACACACCACAAACACACCACAAACACACCACAAACACACCACAAACACACAACAAACACACCACAAACACACCACAAACACACCACAAACACACAACAAACACACAACAAACACACAACAAACACACCACAAACACACCACAAACACACCACAAACACACCACAAACACACCACAAACACACCACAAACACACCACAAACACACCACAAACACACCACAAACACGCCACAAACCCACCACAAACACACCACAAACACACCACAAACACACCACAAACACACCACAAACACACCACAAACACACCACAAACACACCACAAACACACCACAAACACACCACAAACCCACCACAAACACACCACAAACACACCACAAACACGCCACAAACACGCCACAAACCCCCCACAAACACGCCACAAACCCCCCACAAACACGCCACAAACCCAACACAAACACGCCACAAACCCACCACAAACACACCACAAACACACCACAAACACACCACAAACACACCACAAACACACCACAAACACGCCACAAACCCACCACAAACACGCCACAAACCCCCCACAAACACGCCACAAACCCAACACAAACACGCCACAAACCCACCACAAACACGCCACAAACCCACCACAATCACGCCACAAACACACCACAAACCCACCACAAACACGCCACAAACACGCCACAAACCCACCACAAACACGCCACAAACCCACCACAAACACGCCACAACCACGGCACAAACACGCCACAAACCCACCACAAACACGGCACAAACACCATAAACACACCACAAACACACCATAAACACACCACAAACACACCACAAATACACCACAAACCCACCACAAACACACCATAAACACACCACAAACACACCATAAACACACCACAAACACACCACAAACACACCACAAACCCACCACAAACACACCACAAACCCACCACAAACACAACACAAACCCACCACAAACACAACACAAACACACCACAAACACACCACAAACCCACCACAAACACACCACAAACACACCACAAACACACCACAAACCCACCACAAACACACCTCAACCACCACAAACACACCACAAACACACCACAAACACACCACAAACACACCACAAACACACCACAAACACACCACAAACACACCACAAACACACCACAAACCCACCACAAACCCACCACAAACACCCCACAAACCCACCACAAACACCCCACAAACACACCACAAACACCCCACAAACACACCACAAACACCCCACAAACCCACCACAAACACCCCACAAACACACCACAAACTCGCGACAAACACACCACAAACACACCACAAACACACCACAAACACACCACAAACACGCCACAAACACGCCACAAACACGCCACAAACACACCACAAACACACCACAATCACACCACAAACACCCCACAAACACCCCACAAACCCCCCACAAACCCACCACAAACACACCTCAACCACCACAAACACACCTCAACCACCACAAACACACCACAAACACACCACAAACACACCACAAACACCCCACAAACACGCCACAAACCCACCACAAACACACCACAAACAACAAACACATTCACAAAAACAACGCCAACTAGAATATCCCCGACGAATCAAGACACATAAACACGTCATAGATATTCTATATTAAAACAACATTAAAACACACAATAAAGCACCTGAGAAGTGCAAGGTAAAGTCCGTGATGACTTGAGTAGTGTTTTACCCTGATGACCTGACAGGTGTCCATCACCAGGTGACACTCAACATTCATATTATATATCATTTAAAACATTCCTAATAAAGATCAGTAACTTAATGTGCCGCACAAACTGATTAGATCGAATCATAATCAGCTCAAGTGGACAACGATGGAATTAAACATGACTGGAAAATCGAAGGTTGTTTACATAAGGATTACAAGTAGTAAAGTTTGTCTACATTATCAACTGTTACTAGCTACTAACAATTTTTGTTTTCACACACACACACACACACACACACACACACACACACACACACACACACACACACACACACACACACACACACACACACACACACACTCACACTCCCTCCCCCCTCACCCCATTCCCACCCTGCTACCCCTCCCCTACTCCACCTTGTATCCCCCTTCCCCCTTTCCCTCCCAGTCCTCCCTCCCCCTTCATCCCATACTCCCTCCCCCTTCACTTGACCCCCACCCCTCATCCCGGTTTCCTCTGAGACGCTGTTACCCACCTCACAAATCCTTACACCTATGGAACTGCTCCTCCCACCAGCAGAACACTCACCAAGAAGGAGATTTGAGAAGGGACAGAAGAAAGTGTGTCTCAAGGCAATGTACACTAACATACATGGGATTATAAATAAAACAAATGAACTTGGAGAATGGGTACTAGCAGAGAACCCAGACATAAAAGCACTCAGCACTCATAAAGACAATTGCAGTGTTCCCACAGGACTATTATGTTATGAGGAAAGAGAGGGAAGGAAGAGGTGGGGGTGGTGTAGCTCTGCTGGTAAGAAATGGCTGGGACTTTGAGGAGTTGGTTGTTCAGGGCTGTGAAGGTTTCAGTGACTTAATAACAGGTACCATAACAACTGGAGGACAAAAAATTATAGTCGTAGTCATATATAATCCACCACCAAATGACAGAAGACCCAGACAGGAATATGATAGAAACAACATGGCCACCATTAACATAATAGAGAGAGCAGCTTCTGTTGCTATCAGGAATGGATCTGGACTACTAATTATGGTAGACTTCAACCACGGGAAAATAGATTGGGAGAACAGAGACCCGCATGGAGGATCAAATATGGAGAGCTAAACTGCTGGACGTGACATCAAGAAAATTTTCTAAGCCAACCCATCAAGGAACCGACAAGAATGAGAGGGGGGGAAGATGAACCAGCCATGCTTGATCTG